TACTACGACGACTACTCCTACTACTACTACTACTACTACTGCTACTACTGCTACTGCTGCTGCTGTTACTACTACTACGACTACTACTTCTACTACGACTACTGCTACTACGACTACTACTACTACTACTACTACTACTACGATTACTACTACTACTACTACTACTACTACTACCACATCCTACCACTACTACATCCTACTACTCCTACGACTACTACCACTACACCCACGACTACCACTGCTGCTACTACTACGGCTACTACTGCTACTACTACTACTACTACTACTACTAATAATACTACTACTACTACTACTACTACTAGTACTACGACCACTGCCACTACTACCACTACTACTACCTCTACTACTCCCCCTACTACCATTACTACTACTTGTGCTAGTACTACTACTATACTACTACTACTAGCTACTACTACTACTACTACTACTACAACTACTACTACTACTACTACTACTACTGCTACTATTACTACGACGACGACTACTACTACTACCACTACTACTACTACTACTACTACTACTACTACTACTACTACTACTACTACTACTACTACTACTACTACTACTACTACTACTACTACTACTACTACTACTACTAATACTACTACTACAACTACTACTACTACTACTACTACTACTACTACTACTACTACTACTACTACTACTACTACTACTACTACTACTACTACTACTACTACTACTACTACTACTACTACTACTTACTACCACTACCACTACCACTACCACTACCACTACCACTACCACTACTACTACTACTACTACTACTACTACTACTACTACTACTACTACTACTACCACGACGACTACTACTACTACTACGACTACTACTACTACTACTACTACTACTACTACTACTACTACTACTACGACGACGACGACGACGACGACGACTACTACTACTACTACTACTACTACGACTACTACTACTACCACTACTACTGATATTGCTGCTAGAACAACAACAACAACTACTACTACTACTACTACTACTACTACTACTACTACTACTACTACTACTACAACTACTAATACTACGACGACTACTACTACCACTACTACGACTACTTCAACGACTACTACTACTACTACTACTACTACTACTACTATTACTACTACTACTACCACTACTGATAAAACTATTACTACTACTGCGGCTACTACTCCGATTACTACTACGACTACTACTACGACTATGACTACTACTACTACGACTACTACTACTACTACAACTACTACTACTACCACTACTAGTACTACGACAGCTACTAGAACTATTACTACTACTACTACTACTACTACTACTACCAGTACGAGTACTACCACCAGTACTCCGAAGACTACCACGACCGCTACTACTACTATTACTACTACCGCTGCGACTACAACTACTACCTACGACTACAGACTATCTACTACCATCACTACTACTACTACTAATACTACTACTACTACTACTACTACTACTACTACTACTACTACTACTACTATTACTACTACTACTTCTTTTGCTACTACTGCTACGGCTAATACGACTACGACTACTACCACCACTACGCCTACTACTACTACTACTACTACTACTACTACTAATACTACTACTACTACTACTACTACTACGACTACGACTACGACTACTACTCCTATTACTACTACGATTGCTACTACGACTACTATTACTACTGCGACTACTAGAACTATTACTACTACTACTACTACTGGTACGAGTACTACCACCAGTACTCCCACGACTGCCACTACCGCTACCACTAGTATTAATACCACCACTGCGACTACAACTACTACCTACTACTACCGAACACCGACTACTACCACTACCCCTGCTAACGCTACTACTACTACTACTACTACTACTACTACTACTACTACTACTACTGCTACTGCTACTACTACTGCTAGTACGGATACTACTACAAATGCTATTACTACTACTACCACTACTACTATTACTCCTACGACGACGACGAAAACTACTACCACTACTACTACTCTAACCTACTGTTTAATCTCTGAACTACTACTACTCACTACAACTACTACTACTAACGCTACTACCTACGACAACCTACTACTACTAAATAAACTACGACCACCTACTACTACGGCTACCTACTACCACGACCTACTTCTAAACGACACGACGACGACCAGCTACCAGTAACTACTCCTACTAACAACTACTCTACTACTACTACTAAACTACTACTAGTACTACTACTACTTCTACTACTACTACTACTACTACTACTACTACTACTTCCACTACTACTACTACTACTACTACTACTACTACTACTACTACTACTACTACTACTACTACTACTACTACTACTACTACTACTACTACTACTACTACTACTACTACAACTTCTACTACTACTACTACTACTACTACTACTACTACTACTACTACTACTAGCACTACTACTACTACTACTACTACTACTACTACTACTACTACTACTACTACTACTACTACTACTACCACTGCTGCTGCTGCTGCTGTTGCTGCTGCTGCTGCTGTTGCTGCTCCCACTACTCCTACTACTACTACCTCCTCCCCCTCGTCCTCGTCATACCCCCTCTGCCCCCCATCCTCCCCCTCCTTGTCGCGATTCCCAACTATCATGTCTAACTCATTATGATACTGCTTCCCCTCAATATCCTGCCGCTCTTCCTGCTCCTTTGTCATTGAATACTGTTTTCTCAGTATCCTCCTCCTCCTCCTCCTCCTCATTGTCCTTCACCTCCTCCTCCATTTCCTTCGTCTCCTCCTCCTTCTCCTCCTCATCATCCTCCTCCCCGTCCTCCTCTTCCTCCTCATCTTCCTCCTCCTCCACCTCCTGATCCTCCCCCTCCTGCTCCTTCAAGGCGGTCCTTTCTTGCCGTGCCCGTCGAAAACGGCGTAGATGGAGCACGGCTTCTCGCCCTCGACGCGAAGCACGAACCAGGAGTCCTCACGCGGTCCTCCCCCTCGTCCTGTTCATCCTGCGTTTGCACCTCCTCCTTCTCGTGGTCCTCCTCGTCCTGTTCTTCCCACTCCCCCCCCCCCCTTGTAATCCGTCTCGTCCTCCTCCTCCTCTTCCTCCTCCTCCTCATCCTCCTCCTCCTCCTCGTCCTCCTCATCCTCCTCTTCCTCCTCTTCTCCTTCCTCCTCCTCCTCCTCCTCATCCTCCTCCTCCTCATCCTCCCTATCATTATCATCGTCATCGTCATCATCATCATCATCATCATCATCATCATCATCATCATCATCATCATCATCATCATCATCATCATCATCACCATCACCATCATCATCATCATCATCATCATCATCATCATCATCATCATCATCATCATCATCGTCATCGTCATCGTCATCATCAGCATCATCATCATCCTCATCATCACCATCATCATCATCATCATCATCATCATCATCACGATCATCAGAATCATCATCATCATCATTATCATCCTCATCATCATCCTCATCATCGTCCTCATCATCATCATCGTCATCATCATCAACAACATCATCATCAGAATCATCATCCTCATCACCATCTCCATCATCATCGTCACCATCATCATCATCATCATCCTCATCGTCATCATCATCATCATCATCATCATCTTCATCATCATCACCATCGTCATCATCATCGTCAGCATCCTCATCCTCGTCATCAGCATCATCAGCAGCATCTTCATCGTCATCATAATCATCATCGTCATCATCGGCATCATCATCATCAGCATCACCATCAACAGCATCAGCATCAGCAGCATCATCTTACATCATCGTCATCATCAGTAGCATCATCAGCAGCAGCAGAATCATCATCGTCATCCGTAGCAGCAGCATCATCAGCATCATCATCGACATCATCAACATCATTATCAGCATCATCATCAGCATCATCATCCTCGTCATCAGAATAATCAGCAGTATCATCATCCGCAGCAGAATCAGCATCAGCATCACCTCCATCGTCATCGTCAGCAGCATCATCATTTTCTGCATCATCATCAGCATGCCGTTCACGACTCGTCCCCATCACCATCATCATCATCATCATCATCATCATCATCATCACGATCATCACCATCAGCAGCGTCATCATCAACAGCATAATCAGTGTCAAGCAACATCATCAGCAGCATCATCGTCATCATCATCATCGCCAGCATCATCATCGTCAACATCGTCATCATCAGCATTATCAGCATCATCATCACATTCGTCGTCACCGTCGTCATCAGCATCATCATCAGCCTCAGCATCGGCATCAGCATCAGCAGAAGCACCATCATCCGCATCAGCATCATCAGCATCATCGTCATAAGCATCATCAGCCTCACCACCACCACCAACCTGATCACCAGCAGCATCATCGTCGTCGTCAGCATCGTCAGCATCGTCATCAGCATCATCATCATCAACATCATCATCGTCATCATCAGCAGCATTATCATCAGCAGCATCATCATCATCGTCGTCATCGTCATCGTCGCCATTATTGGTACTTCCCTGTCTTTTCTGCACATCCTCATTCTCCTCCTCCTCCTCGTCCTCATCATTCTCATCCTCTTCCCCATCATAAACATCATCATCATCATCCTCCTCTTCCTCCTCCTCGTCCTGTTCCTCGTCATCTGCCTCGTCCTCTTCTCGATCATCCTCCCCCTCCCCAGCACCATCATTACCATCATCAACACCATCACCATCACAATCAACTGCACCGACATGACCTTAACCATCATCGTCACCACCACCACCATCAGAAGACCGGCATGGCGTCGCAAGCGCTAGGTAGAGGAACGCTGCACATCACTAAATTACCTTCGGAACCGATCAGTCTGCCTTTCAAAATACGGCCGGTCATGAGCGCCTTGAGCGAGACTTCAGAGAAACGACAGGCAAGCTGGGACGAGATAGCGGCAGTGACTCCACCTTTACGGTCGGAGTCCTCGGAAAAAGGGAAGCGGAGCATGCGCGTACGGGGCTCGCGCTCCACTGCATCGATGTCACCTATATGAACGTGCGTGCGTCGTGTAATTACTGGATCATACTGATGGCACAGCGGTGGGCATGTGAAATATCGCTGAGAAGCTCGAATATGTAAAGGGGCCCTGGGACACACAAATAAATACATACAAATAACAGGATTCCACACATGTTCCCATATTTTCTTGGTTTTTTGTCATTCCCCCCCCGCTTCCCATATTTTCGCATATTTTCCTGGGAATCGACGATTAGTTGTGTCTGTGTGTTTTTTTCCCCTCCTGAACATGTTCGGAGCGCGCACTGGACACGGCAGCGCCTGGCAGTTCCAAAATGCAAGCTGGAAGGGGCGGAGAGGGCCTGAACAGCGAGACCGTACCCCCCATACACGAAGGAGGGGGGGAGGAGGAGCGAAACCGCAATCTGAACGTGGGCAGCCAGGATCGTCGCCAAAAGGGGCGGCGCAGCTGAACCTGAGCCGCAGCTTCGAAGGCCGCTGGATGCTGGGCGATGCCGAATTCTAAACGATGTTCGCGAATGATCCCAATCGAGACCTCACCACTATCATTGACCGCAGCCGGCACAGGGCCGCGCGGGCAACACAAGACATAGACGGAGCCTCCAAGCTCAGAGCTCCCGGCCTCGCACCCGCGCAGTTGCAGGTGGACGGAGAGGAGGCTCCTCACCCTGGCTAGGGAAACGTAAAGTTGGCGACCCTGGAAATCAAGAACCCGGCGGAGCCTCAGCGTCAGCATCACAGAAAGCCGCAGCGGGCCTGGAAACTCCCGCGAGCCTGAGGCGCGGTTGAAATTGACCAACGAAGATGACGCAGCAAGTGCCGTCTCAAAGTGAAACGCGATGCTGCCAATCATGTCGAAAGCGCGCACCATGATCTTTGACGCCTCAGCGGTGGGAGAGAAGTGGCAGCGGCACGCATCTCCATTAGCACGCAAGTCCTTGACCAGCACGCGCCGCGGGAAGCCCAGCATGACCAAATTACGAATCTGGCCTTGCCGAATTTCTGTGGTTGTGCCAATACAAATCGACTGGGAGCGCGGGGGAGTTGGAGTAAAGAGACTGTTGGAAATCTGTTTCTGTGCAACACGCTGGCGGTCAAGAAGCTCATGCAGGGCATTTTCGGCGGTGGGGACCTTATCACGCAAATTGTTGTCAGCACTATACATGTCGACATCCCCATCACTGTGCGCGGGGCGGTCCTGGGAGAGGAACTCCCGGCGCGCCCTCCCTATCCTGTAGCACATGGAATTCAGGGACGAAGAGACAGACTGCTGAAGCCCCTGCTGTCGAGAGAGAGGCACTTGCGGCCGAAGATGGTCATCTGGTCGGTGAGCTTCGCACATCGCTCCGTAGAGGCGGTGCAAGCATTCTTGATCGCTCCCATTATCGAAATCCTGGTTGGCCACGATCTGAGAGAGCGGCTCGACGTCGCCAATAAATTGGCCCAGCATCGCATCATACAGCTGCTACCAGAGTTCGTTCCCGTAGTTGATGTGGAACGGACCGCACGTCGATCTGGAGGCCGCGAATGCGAGCGGCCAGGCGAACAGGAGGGCGAAGGGCGACAGTGTCGGCGACCACTGCGGTTCCGATACTCGTCGTTGTCATCAGCATACCTCGAACGCACACCCTTGCGACCAATGGCTTCACTGAGGAGCGAAAGAGGGGAAGTACAGTGAGCGGCGTAAATAAATTCAGCACAAAGAAGCGCATGCACGGTGGGGTGAGGAAACGATGAATAATCCCTGACTGGGCAGTCTTCTTTGGGTTATCGGATGGCCAAAGCTGGCACGGCGAGGCCTTGACCTCGAGGGTTGAATCTCGAACACGGCTTTGACACAAAAGGGCTACGAGAAAAAAATGCAGGCACCGATGAAGAGGGACCTTGGAAGGAGGCGCTTGTCGCAACACCGTTGAGGCGCCTTGTGCTTACAGTGGTCCTCCTCCTGTCCGACCTCCCCCCACTCCTCCGCCTCCGCTTCTCGTGACAACCCTCCTCTGGCAGCGCCATAGGCCGCGGCGCCACAAGATCGGCGGCCATGGTTCGGGGATGGACAGACCCCCCTTTAGTAAAACGTGGTTTAGTGAAAACGACCTGAGGCCCAAACCTGGCGGGTGCAAGCCTGGAAAATAACGGCCGCGGCGCCCTCTCGAGAACCGAAGACGGACAATTCACTAATCGACGTGTCACTGTTGGGGGTTCTGTCCACCCCCGAATGGTGGGCCCCGAGGGTCAACGATGGGGGGCCAAGACTGGGAGCAACGAGGGGGGCCCCACTGGGAGCCACGACGGGGGACTACGACTGGGGCCACAACGCGCCACTGATTTCGGGACCCCAGCATCCAGCACCCCTCACCCGGCGAAAGAGAGCTGCTTCAGGTTGCAGTTCGATGCACATAAACATGAATGTATACAAGCACATACATGCATACTTGAATTGCGCGGACTGCTAACAAGGCCAACGATGGCCGAAGGAGAAGATCGGGGTGTTCCCCATACAAGGAAAAGGCCCACCCTGCAGGTTCGTTTACGAACACATCGTGGAGCGATGCTGCAGCCTCCCCTGCGCACAGGCCCACCCCCCAAAGAAGCAGCCAGACAAGCCGGGTTTGTACCCTCATGCATTGCTGGACTCCGGACTCGTTCCGGCGCTGCCAAAGCCGCCGCCACCCTTTGGTCAGGGCCACCGACTCGGACGACGGCGACAGCGACAGTGGCAGTGGCCGACGCGACCCAGAGTTAAACCGAAGCGAAGCTCGCCCCTGGCGGGTGTGTAATGCCAGGGGAATCCGACAGCAACGACGCAAGACGGACGGACGGACAGACAGGACAGAGCACTGCGCGAGATTTCAGCGACAGACAGACGGACAGACAGACAGAGACTGACTGACTGACCGACTGACTGACTGACGCTTGGCGGGAATCGCACGTTTCCCGCCCGCGTGCTGCGGGCAACCAGACGGACAGACAGACAGACAGACAGACAGACAGACAGAAAGACAGACAGACAGACAAACAACCAAACAGGCAGGCAGGCACACAGACTCTGCGTTCCAGGCCTGTCCGAAGAGGAACATTCGCAAGGATGCATGCCAACCCGCGCCGGCGACTCGGACAGAGTAGCGACTGGCGCCTGCCCCGGGAGAGATCCCGCACCAGGACTTCTCCCACGGAGTGGGTTTGCACGCCCCATGGCCGACGCCCCGACAGCGCGGCGCCCGCCCGCCGTCGCCCTCCAGCCCCCAGCCCAGCGGCGCGACCCCAGACATGCGACGCCCTGATTTTTTCAGGACGGCGCCCCTGAAGGCCCGACCCTTTACCTGGGACCTGTTTTCGTCCCGAATCGTTTTTTGACGGTCCCGATTTTTGAACGGCCCGAGGCCCAGTGGCGTAGGTTGCCGCCCCCGTAAGGCCGAAAATTGTAAAAAAACAAAAAAAAAAAAAAAAAAAACAAAAGAAAAAAAAAAAAAAAAAAAAAAAAAAAAAACTTCCGTCCTGATTTTTCCTATTACGCGGAAATCAGTATTGGGGGACAGCTTGTGGCAGAGCCGCGTGGAGCGGCCGACGGCCGAGTCGCGCAGCCGCCGTCCGCGCCCCGCCGCGACAAAGAGACACGTGACTGCGCCGCGCCGAGCCTGGTAGGGAGGCGGACGCAATGCGGGGAAGCGGGTCTGAAGAACGCCGGAGCAGCAGGGAGAAGACAAGGAGGTCGACAAAAAAGACGGTAGAGGAAGAAGAATGAAATAAGGAGACAGATTGCGAATAAAGATGAAAGGAGAAGCAAGGATTTGGGTTATTGTGGAGAAAAGTAGCAAAGTAAAAAGAGGAAATGGTATTTAATATGGTTAGGTGGGTGGGTGTTGGGGAGGGATAAGGGGGAAAGGTTAAGGAAGAATAGTAAGGGATTTTATTGTATGTGGTTTTTAAAAATGTTGAAGTGTAAGAATGGTGAGTAATTGTTTTTGATTAGAGGGAGGGTGGAAAAGTAAATGGAAAATATGATGGGGGGGAAGTGAGTGAAGGTAGGAAAAAAAAGGAAAAGGAAAAAATATGGAAGTTTTGGGGATTTAAGAAGGGAATTGTGGTATAAGATGAGGTAAATGTTAAGAAATAAGAAAAAAGTAAATATAAAAATGATAAGAAGAATGAGAGGAAAAAGAAGTTAAAAGGAAAGAGATAAGAAGAAAAAGAATAAATAAACAGACGGAAAGTAGAGACCAGATACGAAATGATTAAAAGGAGAACGAGCGAGGAGGGCGAGCTCGCGGGCCGGCTCGGCGCCGGGCAAGCAGCGCACCTAAGCCTTCAGCCAGAGGCGCGCCTCGGCCCCGAGCCGCCCCCCCCGCCTCGAGGATGATTGGAATGAGGCGCTCGCCCTGGTAGCGCGCGCATTTCTCTCGCTCGCCGCGACGGCTCGCCTCGCCGTCGCGGCGGGCCGCGGCCCGCTGCTCTGCCTCGGCGCCCGCGGCGGGGTGCCTCACGGACACGTCGAACCAGCGACGCCCGTCGTCGTCCTGGAGCTCGAGGTCGAGCGCGGCGAGCTCCGTCTCCCCGGGGTGACCCAGCCGCGGCCGATCCCAGAGCGGGACCCGCCGGTCGCAAAGCGAGAGCTCAACACAGGAGAGGAGACAGACAGAGAGGACAGACACAATTTGTTTACGTCGAAGCGCGGCAGAAGCAATCGCGTAGCCAGGGGCGCTTCGCATACTCATTGTCCATTCCGCCCCAAGAGGCCCCCATGAGGCCCCAAAAGGCGCCCAGGAGGGCCCAAGTGGCCCCCAAAAGGCCCCTAAGAGGCCCAAAACAGGCCCCAAAACGGCCCCCAAGAGGCGTCCAAACTGCCTCCATGAGGCCCCCGAGAGCCCCCCCACGACATCCGATCGAACATCCAGTAGGCTTCACACCCACAACCCAAGCACGGTGGCGGGATTGGCCGAAAGCCATTACATACTAGAACCACACGCGCGCGCTACGCGCGCCGCTTGGGCTCTAGCCGACTGCGCAGTCGTTGTCGATGGAACTTGCGCTAATCCACAAATCCCAAGATACCACAGGAGATGTCCCCCAGGCAGAGGCCGTTTTGGGCGCGTGGAAATTATGGGCCTGCTCCGGGATGAATTCGGGTTCTGTGAGCGGTCGCGGAGCCGTGCGAGATCGACGCGCGACGCGTCGGAAGGCTCGCAAGTGACGAGACTGCCACGGTGGCCGAGGAGGGCCCCAGGGGCTGCGGACCCAGGCCGCCGCCGCCGCCGCCGCCCCCGCCGCCGCCGCCGCCGCCGCAGCCGCCGCCGTCGCGATGATCGTCGTGGCGGTCGTCCTAGTAATCGCAGTGGGGTGGTCGTCGTCTGTGGAAGTGATCGGGCGATTGCGCATTCCTGGGCACGGTGTGCTTGCCCTGGGGCACCCGAAGCCTCCGGACGCTGGAGATCTGTGGAGGCCGTCGGCCCTCGTCGAACAATCCTAGTCGTTCTGGTCGCCGTCTGACCTCTGGAAACCGCCAGAGCTCCTCGTCGTCACTGTCGTCGTCGCCTTGGTCGTCCTGATTGTGGTCGTGGTCGTTGTTGTCGCCGCCAACGTCGTCGCAGTCGTCTACGACTCAGGAGGGAGAATGAGGGATCCAGGATCAACGATCGAACTTTTAAGCTATATGTGGCCTTCTTGGGCCTCGCGGGGTCGTTTTCGTCGACGCGGTTGCCCAGGGCCTGCGGCTTCCGCCAGCGATCGTCCAGCGTGTGGGCTCTTGCCGCTGCCGCCGCCGCTACAGCCGCGGCCGGCGTCGTCGCCGCCTTCGTCGTCGACTCTGCACTTTTGCGTGCTGGTTTGCCGGTGGTTGGCCCTCCCGTGGCCTCCCGTGCCAGAACTCGGGAGACCCTGAGACCTCTGGGGACCGTCAGGGGTCGTCGTCGTCGTCCTTCCCGTCGTCCTCGACACCTCTCCTCCTATTGCTCCGGCAGTGTGATTCGGAGCATCCGCTCGGATGTTCTCGTATATATGACTGTGTCTATACCGATATATGAAAACATAAATACAACATGTGTTTATAAATATGCGTGTATGTGTATGTACACATTCATGCATGCATGCATGCATACCTGCATACAAATATGCATGCATACATAAATACATACATACATACACGCATACACGCATGCTTATTCGCACATACAGGTATGAATGCAATACAGAATCATCTACGCACACACAGACACATACACATACACATGCACACACATACACGTGTCTACATGTACGTCTAGATATGCATATACAGTTAGATGCACATGTGCACATACATTTACACATACGTATGCCTATACACATACGCATGCAGATAAACAAACATACACATACGCATCTAAATAAACAGAGACGTCTACATATACACCTGCTTACACATACATATGTGTACATGTCTATATAGACGTATACACATATACACATACATATGCATAGATGCATACGTTTACGTGTACAACTGCACACACACATACCTATGCCAAGTTATTTACGTACGCGCATTCACAACCATAGAGAATTAAACATATAGGTGTACGTAGATATGCAAACATGGACCTATGCAAAACGATATGCGTATACATCTACAGGTACATACACGAATATCTCTACTGAGGGAAAGGGAGGGAGAGAGAGAGAGAGACGAGAGAGAGAGAGAGACGAGAGAGAGAGAGAGAGAGATAAAGAAAAAAAAATGCGCACGGGCCTAGATTCTCGACGTCGGCGCTGCCCGCAGGGGCGAGAAAAGGGAACGCAGGGGGTCTGTGGGCCCTCCGGGCCCCAGATCTGGCCAAAACCGGCGCGTTCCCCCAAAACGCCGACCACAGTACCCACGGGCGAATGGAGATCCGCCGAAACTTCGGCTGGCGCACAAATAACAGAGATAAACAGAAGGAGAGAGAGAGAGAGAGAGAGATCCTTCTCCTCCTCCTCCTCCCCCTCCTCCTCCTCCTCCTCCTTTTCGTCCTCCTCCTCCTCCTCCTCCGAGAGAGAGAGAGGGAGAGAGCGAGAGAGAGACAGAGAGCAGGCGGCGCCAGTCCTGGTTGGGGCTCTCAGGCTTGAGCCCCTTACGGCAGGTGAAGCCTATGCTTGCCTCACAAAGCAAATCGAGAAAGGGTAGAACATCGCAAACGAACAAGCATGTATCAGAGAGAGGACGGCCACCTGCGACTGCACATGGATGCAGAGCACCATGCTCAGAATCAATACTAACGAAATGAGGACGGCGTGCTGCCACTACGAGCTGCGAAAGAGAGAGCGCTGCGCCATTGAGGAACGATGGCAGCAGGAAAGGCAAGCACGAGGCTCATCCGTCTTCTTTCCTTGCGCGCGCGCGTGGCTGGAGGGAGGATCGGCGCCTGCGGGCGATACTTGGGGGACAAAGGGGGGCAGCACGTGAGAGCAAGACACGGAGGAGGGGGGAGGCAACACACGGGGGCAATACCTGGGGGGGGGGCAGCACGTGGGAGGCAGTACGTGGGGGCAGCACGCGGGGGCAATGGATGAGCGCCATACGCGGGACCCACACGGTAAGGCGCAAGTTGAGCCCGGGAGCAGCCGTCCGCCGCCGCCCCCTCGATGTGATCTGAAAAAGCGGGGGGCTGCGCATTGACTTACGCCAGGAGGGGGAAGAAGAGGAGGAAGGGAGGAGGGAGGAGGAGTGGTCGAAATGAGTGCGGCAGTCGCAGGGGCAACGCGCACAAGAGGAATAGCCGCGGCTACAGTCGACAACATGCGAGAGAAATCAAACGTCACGCTCGCCTTCAATCCTCGTCATGCTCACCTTCAACATCCTCGTCATCATCATGACTCATCCTTCCTCCATCTCCTCATGTTCCTCATCCTCCACAGACTCCACATACTCCTCCTCGTTGGGCGCGTCTGGCCTTTGATGGGTTGAGCTTCTCCCCCAACTCTTGCATGGATTTCTGGGCGAAGGAGGTCTTGGCCTGAGCAGCACTACACTTAGCATGAGCGCTCAAAGGTGCAGGAGAGACAAGCGGAAGACCAGGCGACGGGGGAGAAATGAAGATTGGAAGTAGAGGCAAAACAACGGCGATGCCAGCACGGGGAGTAGGCGGGGGGGGGCTGGACAGAAGATGTCACCACCAACACCTGAAGACAACGCGGCCCTTCAAGTATCCCCTTGGGCCGCCTGGGAAGGGCTAATTGATCACCCCCCCCTTTGACCGAACAATGTGAGCCCAGAGGCTCCCAAGAGTATCCCAAGAGGGCCACGAGAAACACCAAGGAGAGGCCCCAAGAGGCCCCCAAGATACCCCCAGGATGCCCTCGAGAGGCCCCCAAGAGACCCCCAAGAGGCCCCAAGAGGGTCCCCCCATGCACCCACGGTGCTGAGGCACCCAAGACGACCCAGCACGCCTACAAAAAGCTCTCGAGAACATCCGAAGAGGCCTCTGGCCCTTCTGTTCGCCCTCCTCCTCCTCTTCCTCTTTCTCATCCGCCTAATGTATCCTCCTCCCTCCTCCCTTCTCCCTTCTCCTCCTCCCTCCTCTCCTCCCCCCTCCTCCTCCTTCTCCGCCTCATCCTCCTCCTCTTCCTCCTCCTCCAATGCCTCCTCCTCCTCCTCCTCCTCCTCCTCCTCCTCCTCCTCCTCCTCCTCCTCCTCCTCCTCCTCCTCCTCCTCCTCCTCCTCTGGTTCCTGCTCTATCCTCCCGCTCTTGGGGCATGACGGCTTTCCAGCCTTGATTCCAATGAGTGTTCCCCATGCCTGATCAGGGCAACTCGTCTGGACATCCTGTCTAGATAGGATGGTGGCCCGAACACGCATCCCAATTCGGAAAAGTGCCTCCTGGGGCCTCTTGGGGCCTCCTGGGGCCTTCTGGGCGCGGGGGTGCCGAAAAGCGTCCCCGAACAGTTAACTATCCCAACACCTATAAGCGTCTCCTGCGGCGTCCTTGGGGCGGGAAAGCCGGGAGAGCCGAAAATTGCCCCAAAAACACAGATCCCAATACAGAAAAGTGCCTTCTGAAGCATCCTGGGAGCGGAGGTGCCAAAAAGAGCTCCCCGAACAAATATCCCAAAACAGAAAATGCCTCCTGGGGCCTCCTTGGGCCTCCAGGGCGCAGGCCCCGAACAGAAATCCCGGGAGCGTCTTGGGACTTCCTGGGGCCTCCGCAAGTAGCGACAAGACTGCTCCGACGAATTCCCCTGTGCTGCTGAATTGCGAGGACGTCTCAAGCGAAATGGCCGTTCTGGCACCCGCGAGTAGCAGGAAGAATGCTCTGAAGGACCCCTAATGTAGTGCTCTATTGCGCAAAAGCTTCGAGCGAAAAGGCCTGGCGGGCATCCGCGAGTAGAACCAACCTGGTTCTGAAGGACCCCTTGTAGCGCTAATTCGCGAAGACGTCTCAAGCCAAACGGCCGTGCTGGCATACACAACTAGCGGCAAGACTGCCTGTGGTGCTAAACTGAAGCGGAAGTCTCAGGCAAGAGCGCCCTTCCTGAAGCTCGGGCCCTCTCTGACCAGGGCCTCTCGGAGTGAATTGTGAGGAAGAATCGCGCGGGAAGGTTGATGTTGTTGGGGGGCCAGCTTGGACGGTACCCCGAAACGCTCAAGCGTGAGTCTCGATGCCAACGAAAGTGCAGCCATCTCAGAGGCAAGAGCGCAGGAAGAAACAATAAAAATTGTTCAGCACAACCATACTGTTACTACAACAACACGACAACAAAAACAGCAACAACAACAACAACAACAACAACAACAACAACAACAAGAACAACAACAACAACAACGACAACAACAACAACAACAACAACCATAACAGCAACAACAACAACAGCAACAGCAACAGCAACAACAACAACAATCATGTTAAGGTTGTTCGCTCTTACGTATCTGCCCGGGTGCCATTCAACACGTATATCCTTCGATACCCGCCCTCTTCGTCTTCGATCGTACCCCCTTAGAGGTCAATCTTTCTTACCTGCAACGTGTATTTCGTGCAGCGCTAAGGCAGGGGAAGAGAGGACGGATGGAAGGAAGGGACAAGGGGCAGGCGGGTTGCTGAAGCGTGCGTCCTGCATGAATCGCGAGGAAATCTCGAACGATAGCGCGATTCCCAAATGAATCGCGAGGAAATCCACAGCGAGAGCGTGATTGCTGAGTGTCGAGGGCGCAGCGTCCGAAGAAAGTTGCGAGAAATACCCACGCGAGAGCGCGATTCCTGGCTCAATTGTGAGGAGGTCGCACGCGAGAGCGCGATTTGGGAACAAATTGTGGGGAAGCATCAGGCGGGAGCCGTTGTTGTTGTTGTTGTTGTTGTTGTTGTTGTTGTTGTTGTAAGCCGGGGCGGGGGCACAGTTTGGTGATACATCACTTCCCATGTGAAAAACAAGGTGCGAGCCCCAGGAGAGGCATCATCATCATCATCTTCATCGCCGTCATATTTGTCGTCATCATCTTCATCGAACGCAACAACCCTTACAAGAAGTAACGATAACAACAATAGCAGCAGCAGCAGCAACAACAACAACAACAGCATCATCATCCTCAGCATCATCATTCCATTACCAAAATCATCCTAATCCGCATGATCATCCTCATTTTATCACCGTCATGTCTCCGTCATGATTATCATCATCATCATCATTGTCACCATCAGAATCCTCCTCAGCATCAGCATCATCATCATCAGCAGCAGCAGCATCATCACCATCGTCATCGTTTCTTTCGTAAGCGAATGTCGCCCTTGGCGACCTAACATGATCAAACATAAATTCCAGACGGCCGAGGTTTGACACCGGACAGCATGAACACCGTTACTCGAACCGCCGACGCACGCTGTACCTGTAACGCCGCTCAATTCGCACGTGACAGCCTCCTGCAACCCCTGGAACACTTGCCTCCAAGAGTACTGGGCTGGCACGGAAACGGGCCATGCCGCACGCATCTGAATCTTACCGTCCACCTTCTCCTCCTCATCCTGCTACGTACTCCTCCTCCTCGTTGTCGTAATCATCATCATCATCAGCATCGTCATCATCATCATCATCAATATCATCATCATTATCATCACCACCACCATCATCAACATCATCATCAGCATCATCAACGACAAAAACATCATCATCAGCATCATCATCAGCATCATCAGCGTCATACCCCATATCCTGTTCTGTCCGCTCTCATCCTCCCCCTCCCCCTCCTCCTCGTACCCTTGCCCTCCATACAGATATTCATAATCCTGTCCCTCTTGCTCGCTACGAGCCACAATTCGCTCAGTTCCCAACAGACCTTCTCCTTCTCCTCCTCCTCCTCCTCCTCCTCCTCCTCCTCCTCCTCCTCCTTCTCCTCCTCCCCTCACCTTATCCTCGTTCCTCCTGCTGGTGCTGTTCCTCCTCCCTGTCATCCTCCTCCGCTTCGTCAACCTACACGTACATCCCCCTTCCCTCAGTACCCTCCTCCTCCTCTTCCAGCAACTTCCTTGAAACCCTGGCAAGTGCAAACGCTGGAAGGAGACTGGGCCGAGCCTGGTCCGTGTTCGAACCGACGCTCATCTTCCGATCACCAGTCCCGCCTGTAGCGGCTCCGGGCTGGGGAAGGGCGAGGAAGAGAAAGGGAGGAAGAGAAGGAGGAGGAGGAGGAGGAGGAGGAGGAGGACGACGACGACGAGGGGGAAACCGTTCGTCCCCAAGAAAGATCCCTCCACCGTCACAGGCCAGCCCCCGCACTCGGTGTCCGCACTCTGCAGGAGGTCCCGCTGCGGGACGCACAGCTTGGGCGAAGTGAGAAGGAGGAGGGGGAGGAAGAGGAAGAGGAGGAAGGGGAGGACGAGGAGGGAGGAGAAGAAACAAAAAAGGGAGGAGGAGGAGGAGGAGGAGAATGAGGAGGGAGGAGAAGGAAGGAGAAGGAGGCGGAGGAGGAGGAGGCGGAGGAGAAGGAGGAGGAGGAGGGGGAGGAGCGGAGGGGGATGAGGAGCGGAGGAGGAGGAGGATGCGGAGGAGGAGGAGGAGGAGGAGGAGCGAGGGGGGGGGGAAGGGGGGATGGAGAGGCGGAGTGGGAGCGAGGGAAGAGGTAAGGAGGAGGGAGGAGGGTGAAATGGCAAGGAGAGGCGGATTGAAAAGAGGCGAGATGTAAGTAGGTAGTAGAGGAGGAGGAGGAAGAAGTGAGGAGGATTGAAGTGAGGAGGAGTGGGGGACGACTCAGGAGATTTCGAGGACCCAGGTGTCCAGCTGCCCCAGCCGAGCCATGACAGAACGGGAGGGGGCCGAATTGGAGAGGGCGTCGCAGGGCACCGCGGGGCGCCATTTCGACACCAGGGCAGGCCAGAGGGGCCAGAGAAGCCACGCCGAGGCCAGAACGCCGAGGGGGACGCAAGACGTCAGCCTGGAGCCCAGAGGACCTCAAGAAGAGAGGGCTCCAGGGGACCGAGCCGCATAGGCTCCGCCGGCCAGGCGCTGGCCCCGGGGACGGGGGCCGGGGAGGGAGCAGGGCTGTGCGAAAGAGCTGCCGTGGGGCCCGCGAATCGCCGGCACCGAGCTCGCTTACGCGCGGCTCTAGACCCTGACGCGCACATTCAATGTGCGCATGCGGTGGAAAACAACCTCTTCCTCCTCCTCTTCCTCCTCCTCGTCTTCCTCCTCCTTTTCCTCCTCCTCCTCCTCCTCCTCCTCCTCCTCCTCCTCCTGCTCCTCCCAGTGCCTTCCGTAGCCCTCACGACCTCACATGAGCCAGCATGGATTTGTTGCCGGGGGTCGAGGCACACCTTGGGCAGGTCACGAGCATACCCACGGGTGCGTGGAGAGCAGGCTCCACACCCTGCACAGATCCTTGCGGCGCCCCACCCGACAAGGATGTGTCCGTCACCGAGTACACGTCGGTTGGAAGAAGTAGGTAGAAGCATGACGTAGGAAGGCGGATATAGTGGACTGGGTCCAGGTCCTCCCAGAGAATCACAAAACACAGCAAAAGCAGGTCGATTCTCGAAGTAGGAAGGCGCTTGAAGTAGATCGGGATCTGGGAATCCAAGAATACCTACTTTCAACGACGGGCGTGTACTGGAAGGGGGCCGTGCGTTGAGAATTACCGCGCGTCTCATGACGGGCAGGCAGGCGTGCTTCCCTCAGACAGCGCGCACGTCTCACGGACGTCTCGCTCACCTGCCCAAGGCCGTGCGCCGCCACAGAGGCGGGCAGGGCATGCGACGGCAAGCTTCACCGTGGACTGCGCGCCCACCTCCTGATGTCGTCTGGCCGCTCGTGACGCCAAGAGGCCCAAGAGACTTCCCGTAGTCTCCATCTGCGTCATCAAACCCTCACGGCTCAGAGCCAAAGGCGCTAGCGATGCTGATGTCCACCGCTCCCGAGTATGCAAACAGGTCGGCCCACGAAATTCCACAAAAATGGGCGAACGAACCTCCTTCCTCCACGAAGAGTAGCGCCTCGCAATGAGAGGGCACCCAATCAAATTTGCACCGTGCCTTACCATCACGACGTACTAGCATGCGTACTGGAAGAGTGATCGAGCATTTCGGACCAAGAATTCGCTTCTTCGTCTAACGAAAGATAAGATACTATCAAACCAGGTCGCTTCATACATACATCGAGCTCGGTGCCCTGCGTAGCGTTGACCTCGTGGAACCATTCGATCAAGTCCTGGGACGCCTCCGTACTCGGCGCGCAAGGGCCAGCCAGTGAGACGGCAGAGCTGCACCACCGACCAGCCCACCCTGGCCAGGGCGCGACGGCTGTTGTGTAGCCCCGAAACGTCTGCGTACGATATCCGACCCCACGAGCCCCCACTGCAATCGCCACGTTCGGACACTTCATGATGAGCCTCAGGGAATGCTGTTTGGAGAAGCTCCCTGGGCAGGGCGTAAGTAAGGCGGAACGTGCCGGCGTTGCCGCCCAACGCCTCAGCATCCTTCAATATCTGGCCCCGCATCTCGACAAACTCCTCAGGGATCACGTCGGGAAGCGTACCGCTGATCTACATCATAGTCTCGAATGCGTGCAATTGGTGGGAAACGAACCTCGAGCAACGTCTTCATGCAACTTCGTCTCCAATACGCTCAAGCCACTGATCTCGAACTCTGACCAGCTGCACTCTTCGGATGGTATCACATGGCTGCTTGTCAAGACTCCGAGGCGCGGTGGCGTAGAAGTTGGACTGCTGCTCTATGTCGTTCTGCAAATGGATCCGGCTGAGCATCGGCCATCCAATTCTCGTAAAAGCCAACCAGGCTGCCGCCACAGGTCCGCGTGCCGTCTACCTTCCACAATTCTCCACGCACGGTACAGGTCAGACATACAAACGCGATCGCCCCAATGGAAACTGGCGTAGCGCTTCAATCATGTCTTCGTACAGTCAAACAGCGGTACGACTGTGTCATCACGTTGAGCAGCAAGGTCGAGCGCATAGGGGGCCCAAGCACGGGGTAACGGGGCGTTGAGGGCACCACCCAAAATTGCTGGGAGAACGGCAGGATTTGCCCGCCCCTTCCCCCTCCCAGGCCATCGTTCCCCTGCTCTTTTACCAATCGCACAACGTGAGCCTTGCCCACCGCTCTCCCCTGATCTTTCGCCAACTGTTCCCACCTCTTTCACGCATTGTTTCCGCACACAGGAATTCAAAAGCTGTGTTTTTCTCCTGGCGCCTGTTTGCTCAGAATGTTCCCGTTTCAACATAGGGTGCTCCCGTCGTCCGGATACGCGCTCTCGCCCCAACGCGGGCCACATTCGTGGATCCGACTTCCTCCTCGTCGTTGCAGTCCTTCTCGATTCCTTTCCTCCGCCCTCGTCTGGTGCGCCTGCTCATCCTGTAAGACCTACCCTGTAACGCCCCTCACGGGGGTAGAAACGAATTGGACCGAGTCTACTTGTTGGGGCGTCACTCTGTTGCCCTGTAGGCTTGCCGCCTCCAGTCACCAAGGCGTGCACATTCTGTGTATTGGCTGCGTCGTCTCATTGCTCCCATTCACACCGCACGTGTCACACGAATCCAGATTTATCCTCTTCTCCACTCCGCCGTGTAAGGTGGGTTCGAGTTTCTCGTTCTGTATGATGTCGTGGTTATTGTCTAAGGTCATCATGCGTCGGCTACCGCCGACACATGATGACAACCTGGGATCTCCTGGGGCCTCGTGGGACCTCGCAGGGCAGCCTGGGACGTCCTGGAGCGTCGCGGCCTCCTGGGCTTACCCACGGCCTCCTGGGGTGTCCTGAAGTCCGCTGGAACTCCCTGCGGCCTCCTGGGGCTTCCTGGCGGCCCTCTAAGAAGCCACACGCGGGGCCGTAAAAGTGACGACAGTTTCGAGAATGGAAGCCTTCCCGTTGAGAAAGGGTGAAAAAGTGACGACGGTATCACACTTGAGGCCCAAAACTGTCTTGGAGCTAACTCGGCGCGAATCCCGGTCCCACAAATAACGGTGCGATTTGCACCATCCCCGCTGTCCCACCGGGCACCAGGAGGGTGAGTTTTCTGGTTTCCGCTGGTAAGAAACACTTCCCGCCCCCTCTCGGCGGTGACGGAGGGCAGGAGGCGGGGGACGGCGGGTTGGCGGGGTGGCGGGGTTGGGCTGGTTGGGCTGGTTGGACAGGTTGGGCTGGTTGGGCTGGGTGGGCTGGGAAGGTCGGTTGGACTGGCTGGTTGGGTTGGCGAGGGCAATTGGTTTCGATTCCTGCTCCTGCTGCTCTGAAATGCAGGGCCACGGGGCCATGTTTTTCAAGGAGACGCGTCGCGCACTGAGGGACACGAAGGGGAACTTGGGAGACGAAGGCGCGTTGCATCATCGTTGATACATGTCGGGTTTACTGTGGTCTTCCCTCTCGTCTCCATGTTTTGCAGCCGAGCGCACAGCATCGCGGCGAAACCG